AAAAAAAAAAGGCATGAGTAGATATGATAGAAAGCATACATGAAGGGTTTTATCCAAAATCCACAACAGTGATACTGTAAGTTTCTTGTGTGACACCCTGGTAATGAGATACCTTTTTATAGGCCATCAGGTTGGACTGTACCAGCTGATATTAATTTGTACTAAGGGGTTAGGGTTAAGTATTTGTTCAATACTTTTCTCATTATTACACACAACTGATGGACATTTTGGACTTCAATTCAATTTTATTTATACAGAGCCAAATCAAAACAACAGTCGCCTCAAGGCGCTTTATATTCGACACAGCTGAACAGACACCACACTGAAATTTTACTGAATGACATTTTCTCATGTAAAACGCTGTATGCTTAAATGTAAAATTAACGCAATTTAAATTTTCCAAGAGAAAGAACTGAAAGACTGAATGTCCTGAGTGTGTTAAGTTACATGCAGTATAATCTAGTGAGTATGTTTAAAATAATAGTCTTCACTAAATTAAAGAGAAACATAGGTTTGTTGTCAACATCATTTAATTTAGTAGATAAAGTTCAATATATAACAACTAACTTGCACCCTGTACATTTGTTGTCATAGAAGTTATCTTAATTGTCAACCGACTCGCCCATCAGGTGTTAACAACCCAGAGCTGATACAAACTGGGTGAGCCCAACTATCATGGGAGGAGTGGCAGAGGTGCATACAGTTTGCATTTACTGTGGTCAACCAGGTCATTTCATTGCTTCTTGCCAAGAGGCCAGACATCCAGTAAAGCTGGAGATACTGGTGGGTGGCTTATTACAAACTGCACTTTACAGCCTTACTCTTCCTGCCACACTCTGTTACAATTATGACTCTATCACCTCTGCAAGCCTTAGTTGCAGCTGAACAAAACCTTTTAGACTCTACACTTACTGAACAAGTCTGCATTCCATTAAACCACTCAAATAACCTATCACTGCTTCAGCACTAACCAGTCATCTTCTAGCCATCATCACCTATCAGAACTAACAACAGTCCCCCAAGAATATCCAGGTAGTATTTAGCATATGACTGTTCAATTGACCTCCTCCCTGGCGCTCCACTACCCACCAGCAAACTCCCTCTGTGGAAAAATAAAAGGGAAT